CCCCACACCACCACCATTCCACCCCGCCCACCCAAAAAGAAAAGAGCCAGGGGTAGCGAGAGACTCAGGAAGTTCAAAGACGCTCTCCCCATCATCACGTGGGGCTGTTGCCAGGGCACTGATGAGAATAATAACACATCTCGCAGTGGTGAAGTCCTCACAAAACACATCCGGGATTGAAAAGTAATAAAAACAAGGTTAATATCGGGACTTTTATTGTGGTTCAATTTTGATCCCAAAGACTTGGTTTCGTATGGTGATTTCAGGCTATTTCACATAATTGCGTGAACACGCTGAGTGCAAAGTAGAAAAGACGCAATTCCTCGGAAAGTGGCAGGGGAGGTTCAAATGGATGTGCCAGTTTGAAGATTGGCCCTGTGAAGAGATTTCTGACAACTCAGGGGGCTCGCTCTTTGCATGAGGACGACGTAACTGTGACAGGAATTTCACTCAAACGAGAACAAGCACATTTCGCAATTAAGGCGCCACAATAATCACTGCATTTATTATTAGTCCTCAAAATTAATCATCTTTTGGGGGGCGGGGGGTTGTTCCAAATGCCTGAAAACTCACCAATTTCAGAAAGTTAAAAAAAACATAGGTCTTTGTATGTTCGTCAGAAGCTGAACACAGAGTGCATTTCAAAATGTAGAGCGAGCCCAAAAATTGTTGATTGTTTCCTCCAAATCAAATGCTGATTTGCATGAGTACTGCGGGCAAAATCAATAATAAAGCTGAGAGATTTCATTAAGGGCCGACTTCCTCGCAAAAAGCTGCACTCATTTTGCAAGGTGTCGGGATTCTCGATTGCAGGCGGGAATTTAGAACATTATTATGGGTTCAGGGGTCACATTGTATATCGCTGATCCCGTCTGTGGGGACTCTTCTTAATCTCTTTCCTTATTTATTTATTTTGGCTGCGCTGATTGCATCATTCCTCTTTTATTAAGCGCACCGCGAGAGACTGAGGAGCTTGATGCGTTATGCGCTATTAACATAAATTTGGTAGTGTACACACTCACGTACAACCACGCGTTCGAAATCAATTAGTTGTGCAGTCGTTAGTTTGTGAATCATCTTTTTTTTTTCAACCACATCTTAAAGCAGTTGGGTCAGAAATGGAGTGCGCTGTACGGCTGCAACCAGCAGGGGCGCTGTTGAGTCACACTCAATGACTTTTCTATGTAAAGATAGCAGATGTTCAACTGCTGCACCTCCACTGTGGTACAACAATGGGGCTTTTTAACAAACTAACCGCCTCCCATATGGAGTATCTTGACTCACGTCTTTGCAGATAGCCTTGGTAAAGATCCAGAGCCACTTTCAAGGGGCGGCAGGACTACACTCTCTGAAATACTTCCCACTATCATGCAGAAACGTAGCGCCACCATACCCCCTACGGATGCGACATCCTTGTTATCACTTGAAGGCCAAAAGGTAAGCAGAGCTGCATTGCATTTTGACAGATGGAAAAACAAGCGTTAGCCTCTGAAAAGCATCACATACTTGATTGTTTGGGGAATTTGATGACACGGTGGCATATATCCATGAGTGGAGCAAAATCACTTTCATTCCCCACCATACTCAGAGGGAAAGTGCAAACAAAACATACATAATATGTACATCTCCTTTACACGTACTGTGAGCAAAAGGTGATAAAATGTCCCTCGATGACATTGGAACCATCATAAGAGCAAGCGGAACCATTAAAAAAATAAATATTTTACACAACTCAACCGAATGTTTAAAAAAAAACTTGAATCATGAAAAGTCAGTGGTGGCTTGTGGAAAACACTTGCGCAGCTTCTCGACCTTGTCCTTGACGGAG